TTCACAGCTTCTAAATGGGTTAGAGTCCCTCCCTGTTTTCTTGCATGTATTTTTCTTACATGTGAAGGCCAGGTGGGCGGTCCAGGGCTGGGATAGCATCCCACAGGGTAAGGAACCCAAGCTCCTACCAGCTTGTGGCTTTGTCCTTTGTGGCCTCAATCCTGGGGTCCAAGCAGGGGGCATCTGCATTCCAGGCAGCAGGAGAGAGAAAGGGACAGAGAAGAGAGCAAGTTTCCCGGGAGCCTTATATGCATTATACAGAGCTTTGTCGTCTGTCCACTCCAACTGCAAGGGCCATAAGGAAACACAGTCTTTATTTGGGGCAGCCAGAGGTCCTTCCCCAAATTCTATTACTGTTGAAGAGGGACTGAGCAAATTGATTTGGGGACGGGTTGAGAGAGCTATAGCAGCAGTCTGTTCAAAAGAGGCCCGTGGCAAAACTTTAAGATTCCAGAACATTCCTAGTAGAGGTGAGACCAGCAAGTGACCCAAAGTCCCGATGTCTTTGTCTGGTCTCAAAACAGCCCAGGGATTTGCCAGCCTGCCTTCTGGTGCTAATTCAACATTTTACATTTTTGTTGAATTTTCCTATATAAACTTGTAATTCTGAAAAGCTTCATTTTCAGAAAGATCGTTTTGATCTTTATTACAACCATAATACAGAAGTCCTCTATTTCCCCTCCCCTCATCCTGTCAGTCACCAAGTTTTGTCAGTTTTACAGCCTAAATTATTTCTCGGATGAATTGACTAATCTCTTCCGCCGCCCTCCACCAGGCCACCACCACCCTCCATGGGTCGTACAGCAAAGGAACTGCTCCTTCTCCTCTTCCCCAAATCCATGGATCTCTTGTTCCCTCCACAGTTCTCCTCAAGGTAGCCACCGTGAACTTGGAAAAACACAAATCTGATCACTTGCAAAACTCTTAACGCCTTCTGTCTGCTCCTAGGACAAAAATCGAGCTTCTTCACGGGCATGGTCTACAAGTACTAAATCTAGCCTGGCCCTGCCTACCCCACCAGCTTCCTCCCTCCGCTCCTCCTCTCTGCTTTGTGCTCCTCAGACACACTGACCTTGCAATTTCTTGATGGCATCACGCTCCAACCACAGGCCTTGGCACATACTGTTCCTGTCTGGAAGCTCTCTCCACCACCCCCTCCCCACTCACCCTCTTTGCCTGGGTAAGCTCTTTTCCTCCTTCCTTCCTGTCTCGGCTCAAGCTCATATTTTTAGGATCACTTTCCCTGACCAGCCTTCCACCCTCATCTTTAGAGCTCTTTTATAGTTACAAATTCATCAAAGCATTTATTTGACTAAACTTATGTCCCCAACTAGAGTCTAAGGCAGAAGGCAGTTTTTATTTTTGAACCCTGTTGCATTCCGCCTCTTGTACAGCAGTAGGCTCAGCAAATACAGATGTGGGGGCACCTGGGTGGCTCAGTCGGTTAAGCATCTGCCTCTTGATTTCGGCTCAGGTCATGATCTCAGGCTCTTGAGATCGAGCCCCGCATCAGGCTCTGTACTCAGTGGGGAGTCTGCTTGAGATTCTCTCTCCCTCGGCCCCCCCCTCCCACTTGCACTCTCTCTCTCTAAAATAAATCTTTTTTAAAAAATAAAATAAATAAAATGTAAATATAAAATATATGCTAGGGTTGGGCGTCTGAGTGGCTCAGTCGTTAAGCGTCTGCCTTCGGCTTAGGTCATGATCCCAGAGTCCTGGGATCGAGTCCCGCATCGGGCCCCCTGCTCAGTGGGAAGCCTGCTTCTCCCTCTCCCACTCCCCCTGCTTGTGTTCCTGCTCTCGCTGTCTCTGTCTCTGTCAAATAAATAAATAAAATCGTTAAAAATAAATAAACAAATAAAATAAAATATATGCTGGGGTCAAAATCACCTGTGATCTCACATCCCAGAATAATCACTGTTGTCAGATTCTGATAAGTCTTCTAAAATTGTGTACTAACATATTTACATTTTATGTTAGTAATAACACTTTGGCTCTTGAGATCTGGGACCCAAATCCTCATGCCAGGGTCCCTAGCCAGCACTTCCTGCATGGTGAGGGGTTACGGAGGACCTAATACATGGTCCTCCTTGGGTCCTTCTCTCCCTCAATGATAAAATCCTAATAAAATTTCCCTGTGATGACCCAAACTGTATGGAAGGTGGGAAGAGCGTCACGAGTGCCCTGCCAGGACCAAGTATGGCTCTGTAACTGTCCACTTTCCCTTTAAAAGGGATTCCTTGGCTCTCGGTAGAGGTAGTTTCAAAACACATGCGGTTTCTTGGAAATACTTGTACATGATCCTGGGACACACCTCAGCCTGTCCTCGGGTCGATCAGTGCCGTTCATTAGTGTCATTTTAAACTACAAGGCGAAAATAGGCTTCAGATGGCAGGTTCTTCTCCTAGTCCAGACTGGGGCTGGGCGGGGAGGGCAAGGCCCAGAGGCCGGAGTCTGAGACCCCCCACCCCACTCAGAGACCACTTACAGGGGTGGGGTGCAGGCCACACACCCCAAATCAGCCTGCCGGGGGTGTGCTTCCAACCGGCGGGCCGCTCCCCCATCTGAACGCCCAGATCCCCTGAGCCCAATGGCCCCTCCACGGGCCCAATGGCCACCAGAGACCCCAGGCTGCTGGGCCGGGTCCCCAGGCTGGGAGGGACCGAGCAGGGACACACAGCACCTGCAGGGGGTGCAGCCCCGAGCCCTTGGGCCCGTTCCTGGGTGCTCCCAGGGGCAGGCGCCCAGCCGAGGGACTGGAGCCACTGGGCCCGCGGTGGGTCTGCACCCCCTTGGCTGGCCACGCTGGGGCACTGGTGACACACGGCCGTGCCCGCAAAGCCTGGGTCCCACAGGAGGCAGGTAGGGCCTCGCTCGGGCTGGGGAGGTCAGACGCTGGGCAGGGAGTCCCCCTGTCCACCCCCAACACCTCCCCAAGCACACAGGAGGCCAGGGGTGGGTGGGTCTGAGCATGACTCAGGACTGCCAGCTGAGGCCAGTTCTTTTTGTTTGCACAATCTGTGTCCTTCCCTTTACCCCCTACCCCCCACCCCAACTAAAGTACATTTTTTTTTTTAAAGATTTTATTTATTTATTTGCGAGAGAGAGAATGAGAGACAGAGAGCATGAGAGGGAAGAGGGCAGAGGGAGAAGCAGACCCCCTGCTGAGCAGGGAGCCCGATGCGGGACTCAATCCAGGGACTCCAGGATCATGACCTGAGCCGAAGGTAGTCGCTTAACCAACTGAGCCTCCCAGGCGCCCCTAAAGTACATTTTCTTTGGAGAATTCTTCACAACTCTTTGAAATAATCGGGAACCTCTGGTCTTGCCAAACCTTCATTGGGCATCATGCTGTGACACAGAAGGAAAGGACAGGGAACGAGCTGGTGGGGAAAAATGGCCAATCCTCCCTTGTGAGGGGGGCATGGGGGCCCTCAACACACACACACAGAGGCTCTCTGTCACCCTCCTCACAGTCTCCTGGTCACAATTCCCAAGCTTGCTACTATTATAGGAACGGCGCCCAGCACATGGTGGGCTCCCAGTTAACTGTTTATTTGGGAAAGGGGGGTGGGGTGCCTGGGTGGTTCAGCGGGTTAAGCGTCTGCCTTCGGCTCAGGTGATGATCCCAGAGTCCTGGAATCGAGCCCTGCATTGGGTTCCCTGCTCGGCAGAGAGCCTGCTTCTCCCTCTGCTGCTCCCCTTGCTTGTGCTCTCTCTCTCTCTGACACATAAATAAAATCTTAAAAAAAAATATTGGGGAAGGAGGGAGAGGAATGGCTGAATGAATTGGATTTGTGCCACAGCAAGTAAAACAGGAAATATATCCCATAAAGAGGAAAGCCTGTGGGCCTTGTGGGACTCCGCTCTGGATCTTGGCCCCTTGAGCTCATGTGCCCCGCGGCGGCTGGATGCGTGCTGAGCGCAGGAGGCGGGCTGTGGCCTGTTCACGCACGGCGGACCCAGGCCAGCAGCAGCCGTGACTCACTTTCCCTGCCCTGTAGATAAAGGCACCCGAACTATTTATTGCCTTCGCAGTAGTGGTGGTTACACATAAAGTCGCATCTTTAGGCCCCTCAGTTCCTCACAAAGGAAAAAAAAAAGCCAAACCTCTCCGAGCAAGTGTGGCATGGTTATTTGAGGAAAAGCTGACTCTCCGAGAGACTGGCTGCAGGCTTCCTGGCAGGGACCACTTCTTTTTTTTTTTTAAGATTTTATTTATTTGCGAGAGAGAGAATGAGAGACAGAGAGCATGAGAGGGAGGAGGGTCAGAGGGAGAAGCAGACTCCCTGCCGAGCAAGGAGCCCGATGCGGGACTCGATCCCAGGACCCTGGGATCATGACCTGAGCGGAAGGCAGACGCTTAATGACTGAGCCACCCAGGTGCCCCTTCAGGGATCTTTTTAAGGAAAGTTTTTTTTAAAAAAGATTTTATTTATTTATGTGAGAGAGAGAATGAGATAGAGAGAGAGAGCATGAGAGGGGGGAGGGTCAGAGGGAGAAGCAGACTCCCCGCCGAGCAGGGAGCCCGATGCGGGACTCGATCCCGGGACTCCAGGATCATGACCTGAGCCGAAGGCAGTCGCTTAACCGACTGAGCCACCCAGGCACCCTGGCAGGGACCACTTCTGAGAAACCTCTGGTGACCCTGACTCTTGGCCTTGCGTTACCTGGTGTAATGTGGGGCCAGAGGCTTTTCGTGTGTCTGTGACGGAAATAACTCTTGCAGCTAGCCACTCATCACAAGCCTGCCTAGTGAAGGGTCTCGAAGTGAGCAGACGTCACAGACTGTCCCAGTCTGGAGGGTGCCGGGCCTGCAGGCCTGCGGGGGGCGCCCGCTCACTGAGCTAAACCCCAGACTTTGAATTTAAGAGACGTGCAAGAAGACACACCTCTGGACTCCTGAAGGGTTGTGCCTTCTGGGGCTGGCTACAGAAACGCTATTGGCTGTTCCTCGGCGTGGCCAAAGTACAGCCCGAATGTCTCCCCTCTCCCTTCAGTGCATTTGTTATCTTGGCTGAAAGGCGTTCGGCAGCAGTCCGCTCGCGCCGACCAAAGATGGAGCAACAGAATCCGACCAAGAAGGAAGGGGTAAGTGGGCCTCCCAGGGAAGGAAGGAGCATGGAGCGGCCTGCCCTCAAGGCCTGCTCAGCATTGCTGGGGTGGGGGTGGGGGGCATTCTGGGGAGCTCTGTGCAGGGGAAGGGAGCACCTCCCTTCCTTTGGAGGGAACCTCAGAGTTCACTTTGACAGGGACTAAAGGACAAATTTATTTATTTATTTATTTTTAAAGATTATTTATTTATTTATTTGTCAGAGAGACACAACACAAGCAGGGGGAGAGGCAGGCAGAGGGAGAAGCAGGCTCCCCGCCGAGCAAGGAGCCCGATGCAGGACTCGATCCCAGGACCCTGGGATCATGACCTGAGCCGAAGGCAGCCGCTTAACCGACTGAGCCACCCAAGCGTCCTAAAGGACAGATTTAGGGGACATTTCGATTTTAGAGATTGGTCGGGGATCATTTGTTTTGATTTGGGCTTCCGAACATTTTCATTCGTTTTTTTCCGCAAGTCACATGGCTAGGCCGGCGTGGAAAGAAGGTGGACGCAGAAAAGACTGTGCAAGACTCGAATCTAATTCACGTCTATAGCGGAGATTCCCACCCTTTCAGATGAGAAAGGCTCCCCTGTTTTCGAGACAGATTTTTCTGGACCTCTTCCCTCCTACCCCACTCCCCTCATTCATAGAATTTCAACTGTGCTTTGAGAGTCTCTTAATTGAGGAAAATGCATAATGACAGATCATATGAATTTATTATGAACACTGGTAAGGAATTTGCATTTTATGCATTGCAACCACATTTGCTTATATTTGTGGAGGCAGAGGTACATATTTGTGCAGATTATTAAACAGCTATTTAACTGTTCTGTGCCTCAGCTTTCTCATCTGTAAAATGGGAATAATAACCATACCACCTCATAGGGCTGCTGGACCAGTTAAATGAGATGATGCATGTAAATGACCTGGCCCCTAGCGGATCCCCCATAAATGTTATTACTTTTGCTCATCCTTCAGAGCAGGACGTGAATGACATTTGGGGCCAGATGATTCTTCGCAGTGGGGGACTGGCCCGTGTACTGTAGGATGTTTAGCAGCATCCCTAGTCCCTACTCATTAGAGGCGTTCTCGTCCTGCGAGAATTAGAGTTTTCGAGGTTACTGAGCACCCTCACGTGGATCCTGTTTGACTCTCGTGACAACTAAGAAAGTGTGAGACCACTCAAGTGTTAACCCCTCTATTTTATAGAAAAGGGGCCGTGAAGTGACAAGAACTTAGGGGCTTGGGGGTCAGGAAAGACCTTCATGGGGTCTGTGCCCTCTCTTCAAAGAGGAATACCCTGGCCAACTGTTCCCCGGGTGAGGCTGCAGGAGAACAGAAATGCCCCCGCGTGGTGATCCCCGAAAAGAAGCAATATATTTTGAGAGGACATGATTAAAATGGTCACATACAGGAGGTCTGGGCTGATTCTAGCTACCTGCCCCCTAGATTCTCCAAGGAAAGAAGCCTGTCCTTCAGTGGCAGGTGGGTTGCAGGCTTTCCCTTCCTGGCTGCCTGAGGCCAGACCTGCCCCTTTGAACAAAAGCCAGGACACGTGCTGGACTTCCTGGGATACATGAAGACAAAATGGTTCCCTTGGTGGCTGCTTGTAAGAATCTGCAGATTCCTGAGTGAAGCCCAGGGGGGATTTCGGAGCCGAGGAAAAGTGGAGGGGCCCGGGAAGCCTGCAGAGAGCTGGGGCTGTGTGGGCTGATGGAAGGGGCCCTTGCTCTCTGTCCCCCCGTTGGCTGTGTGATCATGGTCTTGCTGGCCTTTGTGGTCCTCATACATAAAGAGAAAAGACCAGAATCTGACCAATGTGCATCAAGGATTTTTCTGCCGAGAAAAAGGCCTCTTGGCCTGGAGGGGGGAAAATGAGCCAAGTGTTTTAGAAAATGAAGACATAATTTTGGGGGGTGCCTTCACCAACAATACACCTAGCATCATGGGAAAAGTAACTTCCCTGCTGGTGCGATCGCTGTTGATGATGATGAGAGCGAGCTTGTGCTCACTCGAAGGCTGCTGTGGCTCCAGGTGTTTTTCATGTATGAACTCATTCATTCTTCACCTCAGTCCTATGAGGGAGGGAGCACCGTCCCTGTTTTACAGGGGAAGGAGCTGAGACACAGAAAAGTTCCGTAACCGGCCCAAGGCCACACAGCCAGCGACAGGAGAGAAGGATCCGATTCCAGGCTCTTGGGCTGCACCCCCCGCCCCCCCGGCCATGCTGGAAACCCCCACAGCCACAAGACAAGGCGCCTCTCCCGTCCTTCAGCAGCACCTAGGCCTCCCTTTCTGTTTGTGAACTTCGGGATCGATAGTGTGAGAAAGTGACTCCAAGAGTTAATAATTCATAAGAACTAACTTTTCTGGAGATATTTGCGTTCTCCTGGGAGATTCCGGACAGCGGGAATGGATCTAGGAAGCAGATTCCCAAAGGGAGCCGTCTGGGGGCAGGGCTCCCTTCCCAGCAGCCTTGAATCGCATCCAGTTGGAACACGGGCCCTGAACGTGGCTATTTTACTAAGTCTCAAAATGTGTTCGGCCTTAGGAAACAGGAAACCAGTTTACTGTGGGCATAAGGAACGTGTGGTTTCTCCCAAAAGCATAGCTGAGTCACGGCTCCCCTTGGCCTCTGAGGAGACACCCCACCCCCCTTCATGTCTGAAGGCTACTTGTCATTTTTACAAGCTGCTGGGAGACTAGGGCCCCTTCCCCCTCGTACCCTAATCCAGCCCAGTACTAGATCTTTTTCTTTTTCCCTCCTGGAAAGCCTACAAAGAAGGAAGGAACGAACGAACGAACGAATGAAGGAAGGAAGGCAGGCAGGTCAGTCTAAGTGTCTGCCTTCGGCTCAGGTCATGATCTGAGGGTCCTGGGATCGAGTCCCGCATCGGGCTCCCGGCTCGGCGGGGAGCCTGCTTCTCCCTCTGTTGCTCCCCCTGCTTGTGCTCTCTGTCTCTCTCTCCGACAAATAAATAAAATCTTAAAAAAAAAAAAAAAGAAAAAGAAAAGAAATCCGTAGATTCTAAGAGAAAAGCTTTGTCCACTTTTATTTTTCTCCAGCTTTTCATGACTTTACTAACGACTTCCCTCTTGTCATTAAATAAGTGTTCGGTTTCCTCCTGTGTCAAAAGGGGTTATGATCACAGAACACACGTGTCTGAGTCCCCAGAAACCTGTATTTAAATATTTTCTCGCCGTGCCGGTTACAGCAAAAGTCTGGAGGCTAAAGGAAGTTAATCAGTGGCCATAAATAAACAATTACAGTTGTTCACATTTTCTCCTCTTTGATTTTTAGGGGAGTTTGTGTTTGAGGCAGGATTTGAGCGTGTTTGCTACGTCAGTAAATATAGCCCCGTGGTAGGAATGTTAGCGAAGCATTTTGCGCGTTGGGTAGAGTGTTGGAGAAGGTGAGCCTTCCGTGTCTTTCTTTTTTTTTTTTTATATAAGATTTTTTATTTATTTTTTGACACAGAGAGAGACAGTGAGAGAGGGAACACAGCAGGGGGAGTGGGAGAGGGAGAAGCAGGTTTCCCGCCAAGCAGGGAGCCCGATGCGGGGCTCGATCCTAGGACCCCGGGATCATGACCTGAGCCGAAGGCAGACGCTTAACGACTGAGCCACCCAGGTGCCCCTTCCGTGTCTTTCTGACCCAGCGGTTCTCAGGGGCAGCTGCCTCCCCCAACCAGGGGGACGTTTAGCAATGGCTGGAGACACCTGAGTTGTCACGGGTAGGGGACGGGTGGCCCTACGGTGCATCCAGGACAGCCCCCCAGAGCAAAGAATTATTTAGCCCTAAGTGCTGTGGTTCACGGAACCTTTCTACCAGGTTAGGTGGGTAGAGGTAGGTTGCAAGACAGGGAGCAGTCGAAAGATGACGAATCTTCAGATTCTCTTGCATCCTTCAATAAGACTTCGGGGTAAATCCGGAGTTCCCTTGAACCCCAGCTGCTTCCTATGACTTAAGCCAGGATTTCTCCTCCCACAGAGGCTTACACTCATACTTTTACTGGCAACGCTGATAGCCGCATTTGGGTCATCCTTCCAGTATGGGTACAATGTGGCCGCCGTTAACTCCCCTGCCGAGGTAGGTCACTGGGGTGAGTGAGACGCAGCTCCCAATCAACGTGGGGGGTGGCTGGAGCAGCCTGTGCCCGGACATGGCCACCTGGGTGGTGGTACGTGCACACTGGGGCGCACAGTGGGTCCTCAGGTCACGGGAGAGGGAAGTACGCGTGAGACACACAGCACAGACCCAAGGGAATGACTTGCAGGCACAAGGCCATGGGGGTGAACCCGCTCCCCTGGCCTCAGCTTCTCATGGGGAGCCAAGCCTGGCTGTGCACACGGGGGCTGGTGCGGATGGGGGCTCTGGTCTTTTGTAGCCCTGCACTCTCCAGAGGAGTCTGGAGGGTCAGGGGTCATCCAAAGGCCTGGAGGACTGGAGTTAGCAACGTCCTGGGCAGGGTGCCTATCAGAGGCCTGGCAGCTCCCCAGGTGGGTGCTCCTGCTAGCTGTTAGTCATACCACTCTGTCCCTTCTCCCTTCCACTTACAAGTGTCACTGTCTGTGTGCCCAAGTCGTCCATCGGGGGGCCTAACAGCTCACGGTGTTCTTTCTGCAAAACCAGGTCAAGTTACTTTGGTGCTCTCTTCCGCTTTGTTCTCCAGCTCATGAAAGCATTTTATAATGAGACCTACTATGAACGTAACAATAACTACATAAATGAGTTTTCCTTGACATTGCTGTGGTCTGTTTCTGTGTCCATGTTCCCCTTTGGAGGCTTCATCGGCTCCCTCATGGTTGGCCCCTTGGTGAATAAACTTGGCAGGTAAGGCAAGCTAAATTTCCAGCTCCTGAAAATCCTAGACCCCGACCATTTCAAACCTAGGCTTAAAGCTGAAGTTGTTTTTTGTTGTTGTTGGTGGTGGTGGTGGTGGTAAAACTAGGTAATAACTATTGTGATGATTTCTGTTTTCTAATACGATCTTAAAGAGACCAGATGTTGACCAAGTGTCTGGGGATGAGGCAGGGTCTCAGAGCTAGAGGTGGGTATGGCGGGTCTTGGGCTCTGGGGGCAGGCCAGAAAGAGCAGAGCATACTTCACAAGTCAGGACTCGCTCCCTCTATGTTCTCTTGCCTTACACGTATATTCCTTACCAAAACCAAAACAAGTTCTCTCCTCTCTCTCTCTTTTTTTTTTCTCTTTGCTTTTTAAGAGTCAAACACCAGATAACAGGGCCACAATGTCAGTCCCAACGTAGATCATAGCACAGCGTTCTTGAACTCTGCCTCCCAAACAAACACAAACTCACTGCTCTGTTCTTTTACTTTGAGATCAAGTAATAGGCAGAATTTAACCCAAATTAAATTCCTAGAAAACTCTGAAATGGCTGAGATTAATGTCAGGCACTCCAGGGTGAAACCGCGTGGTCCCGGGGCAACTCTCACTATGAGTGTTGTGAATGCCAAGGGCAGAGCTTATATCTTTGCCCCTAATTCTAGAAACATTAGAGATTATGTATTTGATTCCAAAAAAGGTCCTTAAGACATCACACTTCCTCCTGTAAATTCCATGGGCATGAGAGAGCGGCCTTGGTATGAGCGGTATTTAAGAGCTCCTCCCCACCAGCCCCTTCCCTTGACGAACGAGCACACGGAGTCTAGGTAAGGTCAAATCGTCTTCTCGGCCACAGATGTCATTAGCTCGAGAGTCAAGGCCAGAACCCAGCGCCTTCTCCGGTATTTTTCAAAAAAGAGTCTGAGATTAGAAACATACAACCTCTGCTTTGGGATCTAAGATCCTGAGGTCTTCCTGGGAGGTTGGTGTTGAACTCAGCAGTTTTCTCTGCCGGCCAGAACATCAATCAAGTCACAGATCTGCAGGCCAGGTCTCCTTGAGTAAAGGACTTTGGTCCACGTTGGTCCATTTGGTCCACAGATGGAGTAGACAGTTGCTTGTCCAGCTGTCTGCTTGAGAATGTGATAAAAATGCTATTCAGCTGTTTGTGGTTTTCTTAAAGTTCTGTTCCTTATACAACAGTAGCAACTAACAATTTATTGATGGGTTCCTATGTGCCAGGCTCTATCCCGAACTTGGGCTTTTAGGGTTTTTAGGGGTTTTTTTTAGGGTTTTTAATTCCCCCAATCCATACAACAGCCCCATCCCCTTTTTCAAAATGGGAAAACAAAGCACAGAGAGATGCTGTCACTTAGCCAAGATTATACAGTTGGGAGGAAATTCCATCTCTGAGCCCGTCCAAGCAATACTGTTTTATCAGGCAAGTATCTTCTCTATCTGTTGCTTTATTGCTTAATCACACACATAGTATCTTTTTCATACAAGATATTTACATGTTCATGTGGTCAGACTTAACTCTCATTTATGGTTTTTGCTTTTTGGGTCTGAAGGCAGCCTTCCCCACCTACCTGGAGTCACAAGGGTAGTCTTCTATAATTTAAAAAATAATGTTATACAATTTTGTTTTTCCCAGGCAGATCTGGCATTTTATTTTATTTTTCTTATTTTTATTTTTTTTTAAAGATTTTATTTATTTGACAGAGAGAGACACAGCGAGAGGGGGAACACAAGCAGGGGGAGTGGGAGAGGGAGAAGCAGGCTTCCTGCGGAGCTGGGAGCCCGATGCGGGGCTCGATCCCAGGACCCTGGGATCATGACCTGAGCCGAAGGCAGGCGCTTAACGACTGAGCCACTCAGGCGCCCCAGATCTGGCATTTTATTTTGTATGGTGTTTTAACATTGAAAGGATTTTCTATATGCTGTTGAATTCAATCTGCTAATATTTCATGTACGATTTTTCCATCTACGTGATATCAGTGAGGTTGGCCCTATACATTTCTTCTAATGTCCTTACCTGATCTGGTTTCAAGATTCCACTAACATCATGTGAGTTGGTGATTTCAAAAAACCCTTGAGTGTATCCTAGTATGCAGCTCTTTCCCTCTGCTCCCCACCACCGATGCACTCTGCACTGTGGTCATTTCCCACTGTGGCTCCCACCAGGCTGTGCACTTGACCCCTATCACCAGGCTGTGCACTTGACCCCTATCACCAGGCTGTGCACTTGACCCCTATCACCAGGCTGTGCACTTGACCCCTATCACCAGGCTGTGCACTTGACCACTTGACCCCTATCACCAGGCTGTGCACTTGACCCCTATCACCAGGCTGTGCACTTGACCCCTATCACCAGGCTGTGCACTTGACCCCTATCACCAGGCTGTGCACTTGACCCCTATCACCAGGCTGTGCACTTGACCACTTGACCCCTATCACCAGGCTGTGCACTTGACCCCTATCACCAGGCTGTGCACTTGACCCCTATCACCAGGCTGTGCACTTGACCCCTATCAGCCTACCATCACAGACAGTGGAAGCAGCAGCAAAGCCCGCTGCTGTAACTGGCCAGAACTTGCTGAACATCTGTTAAATGAACACGTGAATCCTTCGCCCAGACTAACTGACATTTCGTCCTCTGCAGGAAAGGGACTTTGCTCTTCAACAACATCTTCTCCATTGTCCCCGCGATCTTAATGGGGTGCAGCGAGGTTGCCCGGTCGTTTGAGATGATCATTGTGTCCAGACTTCTGGTGGGAATATGTGCAGGTAAATGATGCTACGCTGTGCTACCACTCTGTGATTTAGGATAATCGGGGAGGAGGGGCAGGCACCAGGGTCTGGACCATCCTGGGGCCGCTGAAGCTCGCAGACGCAGTGAGCCTGCACCTGCCTCTGTCCTGAACTAGACCCTGGAGCCCACGCTTTAGTCTCAGGTGCGTTCAGGGGCAGAGCGTCCCTGTGCCACTTCCCACAAAGAGAGCCCTTGCGTGAAAGACAGAAATACAGAATCCTGTGCAGAGGCGCGCTTCCGTCTGGTCCTTTATCTTCGTGTTTTCTCAACTGCAGGCGGGCCAGTGGGTGGGCGGAGACCCCTGATTAGTGAGCAGCATTTTCTTTTTCTAGACAGAGTAGACCGTGTCGTGGGCAATAAAGATAAGGATTGTCTTCTGGAACTTTTGCTTCGGTTATTGATACGTGTATGAAAATCAGGTTGCAACGTAAAACATGTTTCTGTATTTTTTACTGTGGGTCGTGGTTGAAAAAGCGTGACGAACAATCTAACGGACGAATCCCTCTTAATGAGAGCAGCCTCTCAACTTGTATAGGGAATGTGAAGTTTGCAAAGGGCTCTTCGGGGGGGGGTCCTCTTTCACTTCCTCCTCCAGCGGCCACCTGCTGCAGAGAGTAATGACTGGCTGGGGTCTCTCACCCCATAAGCCCTGGAGCTGCTTTGCAAACTCTCCAAAGCTATCCTCAGAGGCCGCGCTTTGGTGGTCGTAGGAAGCTCCCCCATAATTGTTTCAGACCGAAGAGATGGTGTTAAAGCCATGCTTGTGAACTTCCCACCCGCCCCCCCCCCCCCGCCCCTGTGACTTGGCATTCTTTCGTAGACTGTATTTCCCAGGGCTGGTGGGGGTGAGCGGGGCGCCCACTCTTGGGGCCGTGCGCCTTCCGGGTGGGCACCCAGGGTAAGCGCCCCCAAAATGCTGCATCCCGGGCACCCTGCCAGCAACCCTGCACCCGGCCCAGGCAGTACCAGCAGCTCTCATTTTCTCCTTCCATCACGGGGCTAGGGATGAATGGAAGACCTGGCTGGATGTCAGCAAGCCCCTCAGCGGGCTCTATGGACAGTGGTGGGCACGGCGAGGAGCCTGGTGTTAGGGGAAATGGCGAGGAATTGCGGGGCCAGGGAGAAGAAGAGGAAAATAAGATCCTTGAAGAGAGAAGAGGTCCTGTCAAGGAGAGAGTGATGGGCCCCATGACAAGCTTCCTTCGTACTGCTTTCCCTGAGAGCGCTGGATGGACCTCTGCCTCCTGAGCCCCAAGGGTGCCTGGCCCGTCTCCCCCTGCAGCAGGGCTGGGCTAATGAAACACGGATGATTCCTGGAAGGTGCAGGCAGGCACTTTTCTGTTGACCATCCAACACTTCAGGGTTGGTTCCAACAGGGAAATATTAGGCTCCGATAGATAACAAATCACAAAACCCCCAACCTTTACTCCTAAATAAACATGACTTTCAAGTCAGTGGTTCTCAAACATTCTGGCCTCACTCTTACACTCTTAAAATTATTGAGAGCTCCAAAGAGCTTTTTGCTCACGTGGGTTGTATTGATTAATATTTACCATTTAGAGATTGCAGCCAAGGGGCGCCTGGGTGGCTCAGCTGGTGAAGCATCTGCCTTCGGCTCAGGTCGTGATCCCAGGGTCCTGGGATTGAGCCCCGCATTGGGGCGGGGGGTGTCCCTGCTCAGCAGGGAGTCTGCTTCTCCCTCTCCCTCTGCTCTTCCCTGCCCTGTTCATGCTCTCTCTCTCTCAAATAAATTAAAAAAAAAAAAGGAGAAAGAAAGAAAGAAAGAAAGAAGAAAGAAAGAAAGAAAGAAAGAAAGAAAGAAAGAAAGAAAGAAAGAAAGAAAGAGAAAGAAAGAAATTGCAACTAAGAAATGTTCATTTAATTCATTGAAATGGTGACAAGATTACATACATGTGATTCTCTTATGAAAAGAGCTGTATATTCTAGGGGTGCCTGGGTGGCTCAGTTGGTTAAGCAACTGCCTTCGGCTCAGGTCATGATCCTGGAGTCCCGGGATCGAGTCCCGCATCGGACTCCCTGCTCAGCGGGGAGTCTTCTTCTCCCTCTGATCCTCCCCCTCTCATGCTCTCTGTCTCCCATTCTCTCTCTCAGATAAATAAATAAAAAATCTTAAAAAAAAAAAAAAGCTGTATATTCTAAAACAAAAAAGCTTAGTGAGAAGAGTGGCATTGCCTTACATTTTTGCAAATCCCTTTTTAATGTCTGGCTTCAGAGAAGACAGCTGGCTTCTCCAACCTGCTTCTGTGTTCCCCTGGCTGGGGTACCACGTGGCATGTCGCCTCTGGAATGCTCCACTGTGGGCTCAGGAGAGAAGGAGAATGAACAGGGCACTATCTCAGGATTCTTGGAAAATGCTTTTGATCTCGCAGGCCCCCTGAGAAGGTGTCAGGAGCTCCCTAGGTCCTCAGATCCCTTTTGGATCTCAGGTCATAATCCATTTGCGGTTCTTTCACACGGTTCCTGAAAAAGTCAGGAAGGTGAGTGAGCCAGCAGCATGCTGCTCAGACATCCTAAAAAGGAAGGGAGCAGCTGCTCTGCCAAAAGGGGATATGGGGACCAAGGGGGTGCAGGGACAGACAGTGGGACTTGAGATGCTCAGTTCACTGGCTCACTGCTAGTCAACTCGAGTGGCAGAACACCAAGCGCTTTCCCCGAAGGAATTTCAAAGGTAAAAGCCACTTTCTCCGACTCTGTCCGACCAGGCCAGCTGGGATTGCCCAGTGGAGTCGCTTTTAAGTCCAAATAGAGATTGCTTCCCACCAGCAAGAAGGGGACCCCGTCTCTTCCCAAACCTCCGATGTTTGCCTCTTCAGTTTTTGTCCCTCATCAAGTGAAGTGCTTACTGCTGAGATGTGGGGTCCCTCCCACCCCCCCGAGCCCTGAGTGGTGACCACGGAGCCCGCCCCTCAAGGGCCCCTGCTCCTCCCAGCCCTTTAGGTGCTAGGCCTGTGGCGTCCCCACACATACCCCACCAGACTTCCCAGGGCTTCTGCAAAGACTGCCCCTCTTTGCTCTGACAACCGGGAAGAACTGGCATGAATGAGCAGCGAGCCTCTTTTAAAACACTAAGCAGATACCCTTGGGGAGAATCACCAAGCTTGAACCCTTGGTTCTCAAAAGGTTCCCTCCTATCTGGATGTCATCCAGTACCCACCCGCTGCCACACTGTTCTCCCCGGCCTCCCTGCGGCCGGAGTCCCCTCTCAGACCCGCGTCTCTCCGAGCCCCAGCCTGAGTCCTGACTGGGTGCTCGATACTCGGACTAGTGACAACCCCCCTGACCTCCATCCAACATTCTCAGCATCTTGTTGGGCTTTTGGGGGAATTAAATGGGATGATCTATGTAGAAAATACTTCCGAGCCTATAAAATTAAGTTCCACCTAATCTTCCTTGTTCCAGTAAGACGAGAAAACTTAAAAGTTTAAATAGTGGACATTCGGAAGTGGTAATTATTCCACAGCATATGTTTACATTTGTAGTGCTTACTGATTAACAGAGCTTCAGCTGTGCATCAGTTGGTTATGTAATACGCCTTCTCAGAAGGCGAAGCTGGTGGGCAGGGGTCCTTGGCACCGTACGAACAGCTTCCCCCCAAGGAGCCAGAGAGGAGAAGGTGCCAGGCCACACCTGGGCTTTTCCTCCCTGGCACCAAGCCAGTTAGGAGGGCAACCCAGAGGTCAGGCCGCCCGTGTCCCCCGCCCCCGGTGACATGAGTTGAAAAGCCAGGCTGCTTGTCGATGAACTTCCTTGGCTCAGACTATTATTTCTTTCCTTACAGTTTAAAGGATGAAGAATTAAAAGAGGTGTTTGCTTACTCTCGCCGTTTTGAGACCCGATGTGATTGCTGGATAAGAACGAGTGTGTCTGAAGACACAGCTTGTCCCTGTCAGGCTTAATGTTTCCTGATGGTGTTTTTACTTCAATCCCCTGCCAGGTCTGTCTTCCAATGTTGTCCCCATGTACCTGGGGGAGCTGGCCCCCAAAAACCTGAGGGGGGCCCTCGGGGTGGTACCTCAGGTCTTCATCACCATCGGCATCCTCGTGGCTCAGATCTTTGGTCTTCGGAGCCTCCTCGCAAACAAAGAAGGTAAGCCGCGGCCGCCTGCAGACCCCAGGCCTCCCTCCGCTCCGACTGGACGTTTCTGTGAGCTGGTCTTTCCTCTCTGGACGCTCCGAGAGCGTCCCATTCCATAGACGAGGAAAGGGGGGTGCCCCCTGGGGGTCAGGTGGTGAGCCACAGGGCTGGTACCCCTTCTAGACCCTGACTCTGGAGCCACACTGCCCTCCTGGAGAACCCAAGCCCAGCACATAGTAGATGCACAGTAAATGGTAACCGCCACTCCTTCTGCATGAACCCCTGCCCCCTTTCTGGTCTCAGGTCTTGAAAGGGAAATCACCATTAATCGTCACACCAGCCAGAACGTATAATGTGCTTACTGTGGGCCAGGCACCAAGTCTTTATACTAATTCCATTCAATCCTCCAAGCAACCCTCTAAAGCAGATACTGTTATTATGCCCATTTTACAGATGCAGAACCTGAGGCATAGAGAGATTGGATAATACGTCCAAGGTCTCCTTAAGATACACATCCCGGTGGTTTGGTCCTAGGTCCATGTTAAGTGGCCACTGTCCCCCTTTCAATCACCCTCATAAGGAGCAGGGACCAGGGGTTCAGGGGCTGAGTTCCTGTCTCCCAGTGATGGCACGTAAATGATCAGCAGGACGCAGGGCAATCTGCAGAGCCCTGGTGTCCGTGACGTGCTTGCTGGTGGGCAGTAGGGAGTGACTGGTTCTGCCCAGCGAGGGGGGCCTCAGAGAGGGCTGAGGGTCTGGACTGGGGGGAACAGGACCAGCGTTCCAGACCTGGGCATGGAGGACAGAAATGCAGAAGTTTTTTTGTAAGTTCGGGGAACTACAAATGTTGTGTGGACTGCATTTGTCCATCCTTTTTTGAGACTCTTTCACTGTTGGTGCCCTTCCTCTGGGCAGAGTGTGTGGAGGGCAGGGCTTTGGCCTTAGGCATCTCTGAATCTGCAGCACGAGTCCTGGCACATAACAGATGCTCGAGAACAAGGAAGGAAGGAAACCCAGAAGAGAGTGCTGTGCAGGAGGCAGGCGGTCATGGTGCACAGGATTGAGGAAGTCCGACAATCTTCTTGAAAAGAGGATTGCAGCGGGGTGTCTGGATTTGGCAGTTCGGGGTCTCCAAGAAGAGTTTCCCGGTAGGGGGTGGGGTGGGGGCCCGAGCCAGACGGCAGTGGCCAAAATCGGAGATAGGTCCACACCTGCTGTTGGCTGTGCAGGGCGATGGATTCCGGACCAAGGGAAGCCTGCATTTGCAGGTGTGTGGGGGTTGGTCCTGGCACCTGCCTCACGACGTGGCCGGTGGGGAAGCGAGTTAACACACGAAGAGCCGTGAGAGCAGATGCCTGGCATGCGGACATCCGCCGTTGTCACTGAGTGCCAGCCCTAGGAGAAAAGGGGGAGAGGCAGGGCGTTAGCAGCTCCTAGAAGGAGCCTGAGCTACTCATTCACTCATTGGACCATATTCATGGTGCAAAATAACACACAGAAGGAAGAGCGCATAAAACATAAACGTACATTCCCTCCACCCAAAAACAAACACCGGTGTTTGGTCTGGACGCCAAACTAGAGCCGTGCCCGGCCCCCTGTAGCTTTCTGCGTGCCCCTCAACCATGGCCTGCCCACCCCCACCGTGCTGACATTTGTCACCCCATCCTTGCGTCTCCCTATAGCTGTTTACCACCTTTTGCAAAGATGGAGTTAATTTTCTGTTTCTGGACTTCATCCGGTTGGACCGCATGGTGTGGGCTACTGCCCCCAGCATTGGGTTTCTGGGACGGGCTCCTGTCGTGGCTTGCTTCCGTCCCAGTGCAGTATAGGATTCTGTTTTGTGAATACCCCATGCTTCCTGGGTCCATTCTACCATCGTGGGCATTGCCTTGTTGGTCGTTTTCATTTCTATGGTCAGTGCAGTGCAGACTGGTCCAGTTCAGGTGTCCCGGTGGCCCCGGCAGAGTCCTGAGCATGGACAGGGGTCTCCTTAGGATACACATCCCGGTGGTTTGGTCCTAGGTCCATGTTAAGTGGACCAGCTCTGGTCTGGCTCTTAAGGAAACCAGTCTGGGACAGAGTGGCCGGCTGGGCTCCAGGGGGGTGGGGGGACTGGAGGGGCAGAAGGCAGGTGACTTGGCTGGGGCCGGCTCTCACGTGGGCACTGGCTTGCCTGCAGGCTGGCCGATCCTCCTCGGGCTGACCGGGATCCCGGCGGCCCTGCAGCTCCTGTTCTTGCCCTTCTTCCCCGAGAGCCCCCGGTACCTGCTGATTCAGAAGAAGGATGAAGTAGCTGCCAGAAATGGTAAAGCTTTAACTGTGCTGGGTCAGGGGACGGAGGCCACAGCGTCCTGGCTCCGGGGAGTTGGGGCGCCCTGAGCCGACCCCCTGCTCCCGTCCCTTAGCGCTGAAGAGGCTGCGCGGCTGGGACGACGTGGGCTCGGAGATGGAGGAGATCTGGCAGGAGGACGAGGCCGAGAAGGCCGCGGGCTTCATCTCTGTGCTGAAGCTGTTCAGCATGAGGTCCCTGCGGTGGCAGGTCATCTCCATCATCATCCTCATGGGCGGCCAGCAGCTGTCAGGAGTGAACGCAGTATGGGGACAGTGGGGCCCGGGGGCGCGGCGGGTGGCCGGTGGCTGGTGTCACCGCGGGGGCGGGGGGCCATGTCGCAGGTGTTGTCCCGAGGGCCCCACCAGCCTCTGGGGGTACCTTCCAGATCTACTACTACGCAGACCAGATCTACCTGAGCGCGGGGGTGAACGATCATGACGTCCAGTATGTGACGGTGGGCACGGGGGCTGTCAACGTGCTGATGACCGTCTGTGCCGTGAGTCAGACAGCACCACGCATGGAGGGCATCTTAGGAGTGGGGAGGGGGGTCCTAGCTGAGGACAGGGCTGGAGCTGAGGTGCGTCTTGGTGTCCTCATCTCCAGCCTCTGGGCTCTTGTCAGATGACAATCTATGCACCCCCCCAAGATGGAGACCCCTGCCCCCGACTCTGGAAGCTTCCACCGTGTGAAGTGGCTCCTCCCCAGTGTCTGACATTTCGGGTTGCAACCTGGGAGGGCAGCTCTAGGCAGGGGTACGCCCCCCTTTTCTGGCGGGGCTCCTGAGCCTCCCTGCTTGTCCTTTGCCCCCTGCCTTCCAGGTGTTCGTGGTGGAGCTCTTGGGGCGGCGGGTCCTACTCCTCCTGGGCTTCTCCGTCTGCTTCACGGCCTGCTGCGTGCTCACGGCCGCTCTGGCCCTGCAGGTGAGGAAGGGGGGGCTGTGTCCTGTCCACCCCCTGCGCCCTCGCCTGCAGTACAAGGAAGAAGACCAGAATGACCTTTTAGCAGCTGCGCTGAATCAGATGCCTGGGGACCATCTGCAGCCCCCGTCACCCCCACCCCGTAGCAACCCACTGCCCACTAACGGCCGGTTTTCCGGGGGCATCCGGTTGGTGCTGCCTGTTGGAGGAGCCAGGAGCCCTCCTGCCCCAGCCCTGGCAGAGCGCCTGGCCCTCTGGGGACCTAGGTTCCCGACGTTCCCCATCCCCGGTTGTCCCTGCTTTGCCGGCTGTGATCCCACCCTGTTTTCTCCCCACAGGACACAATATCCTGGATGCCTTATGTCAGCATCACCTGCGTCATCTCCTACGTCATAGGACACGCCCTTGGGCCCAGTATGTACCCCAGAGCTGGCTCTATGCTTCCCTGTTCTCCTCTTCGGCACCATCAGCCCTAGAAATCTCTGTTCCCCGGAGAGGCTCCTTGGAGGGCCGGATGCAGCCCCAAAATGGCTTCTCCCCCTACCTTCCTATCGCAAAGGGGTGTGGACAGAGCATAATTAGACTGAAAGCAATAAAGCAGCCTCGACTATGTGGGTTGAAACGGGCTGTGTAGTTGGCGTAGAGATCCTTACGGGTGGTCACAGGCCCCTTTTGGGGACATCACAGGGTGTCACCTGTGGTGCTCAATTCTTGCTGTTGGCCTCCTCACTGTGCTTTGCCAGCAGCCCAGCAGTCCCGGAGACACACTGCCCCTCGGGCCCCCGGCACAGCAGGGCCTCCGGGACCCTTTATGGGCCTGCTCTGCTTCCAGAGAAGGCAGCCCTTCCTCTTCTCCCACTCTGCCCCCCCCCCCCGCCCCGCCCAGGTCCCATCCCCGCGCTACTGATCACGGAGATCTTCCTGCAGTCCTCCCGGCCGTCCGCCTTCATGGTGGGGGGCAGCATCCACTGGCTCTCCAACTTCACTGTGGGCTTGATCTTCCCCTTCATCCAAGTGAGTGCGCCCCGGGGGCCCCGGATGTGCAAATCCTCAAGCGGTAAAGGGAGAACCTTTTCGAGAATGTGAACCCCGATCCCTTTCCCACAGGTGGGCCTCGGACCTTACAGCTTCATCATTTTTGCTGTGATTTGTCTCCTCACCACCGTCTACATCTTCCAGGTTGTCCCCGAGACCAAGGCCAAGACATTCATGGAGATCAATCAGATTTTCACCAAGATGAATAAGGTGTCAGAGGTGTACCCAGAGAAGGAGGAACTAAAGGACTTTCCAGTCTCTGCTTCGGGCACTAACTCAAGCAGAGGAGCCTGTTAAGTGGGTCTGTGTGGAGCTTCCCTCCGGGGCTTGCTTTCTGACCGACAGGTGTCTGTGAACACCCGGAACTAGGACCAGCCCGGTGTGGAACGCAGGCCCCACTGGGACTGCCCAAAGGGCTTCTGTGCTCTCTCCAGACTGACCCACCACCAACCCCGACTCGCTGTGAGCAGGCGCCCCTCACCAAGTGGGTTCGCCGTTGGGTAGCTCCTAATAACACCAGCTCTTACGACAAAAGTCTTTACTACAGTGGCGGGACAGAAGGAACCCCATCTGGCCGGAGAAATGAACTCCTCTGCAATCCCACGGGTCTGCTCGGGACCGGAGGCATTCTTCCTCCTGCCAGATCCATCTCCAGGAATACCAGCCCTGGAATATGTGATGTCCCAAGTAATGATGTCTAAGAACCTAGGGCAGGTCCCTGCGGAGACATCAACGAGTCAGAGATTCTTAATCGTGAATTATATCGCTGGAGGACATTGGCATTGCCTCTGTATGCTCAGGAAAACACGTATGATCACTTCTCACCAACACATGCTTCTTTCCTGTGAGCAGGTAGAAGACACGGGGGGGCGGTGCCTCCCTGCTCCTTCAAGCAGTCTGTGTTGGAGCATCGGCCGCTCAAGGGTGCGGGTTTGTCCCGGAATCCCTGCCTAGGACAGGGCCTGGCGTGGAGGAGGTGCTGAGACAGTATTTGCTGGAAGAAGGGGAGCAGCGAGAGAGGAGGTGTTCACAGAGTGGTGATTTTTTAAAATTTAAGATCGGGGCTCCTCTGCATGTCTTCAGGTGCATGGTGAACACCGAGGGGCCCTGAAAGTGAGATGGGGAAGGGGGGCCGGGAGGAGGAGGGATGCCCCCCCACACATATGGCACATACAGCAGAGCTGGGGGCTTTTCTTAAAGACATACGTTCACACATGTGTGTGTGCGCGTGCGTGTGTGTGTGGCGGGAGGGGGGGACAGGATGCGAGATCTGCTCCTGGGCATGAAGGAGGCAGAGCCAGGGACAGGGTGGGACAGAGGTAGGATTAGGAGCAGCCTTTGTAAGGGTGGAATGGGGATCCTACAGGTGATTAATTAAATAACTCACAGGAGTAATGAGGGCCCAGAAGTGAAGAGTCCCCTGCTGGGGTTGGGGCACCCTTGACCTCCAGGTGCAGGGACCTGCCGTGCCAAGGGGGCACGGGAACCAGCCGCACACAGCAGGAGCTCTCAACACGGAGGAGCGGTCCAGCTGGGATCTCAGAATCCAGGAGGCTGGAGCCCCAGTCCTTGGTCCTGCCACTTCGTGATGGTGTGACATGCACTTTCTGCTCGGCTTTCCTGTATGTTAGTTTCCTCTTCTGTTAGACAGAACTAATAACAAGTGTCTCACATGGTAACGAGGATGAAAGAATATGTTTATGGTGTTTAGATCAGCGGCTGGCATGTATTCTGTACTTAGTTATTTTTAAGAGCTTGAGAATGAGCATTGATCTTGAGGACAAATAAACCCATAGGTAAAAATGCAGCAAGAGACCACTATCCATGTATAACTGGAATTAAGCAATTAAGTAAATGGATGGCAGATGGTGAGAGCCATCTCACTGGTGGAGATAAGCCAAGACAGGGAGCCTGGGATGATCCACGTGGTCCTAGATGAACGTTGGAGATCCTGGTATGAGCTCACATTCAGTTTAATATAAACACAGATAGCTACCTATAGAAATACTGGGGTGCCTGGGGGCTCAGTTGGTTAAGCATCTGACTCTTGATTTGGGCTCAGGTCATGATCTCAGGGTCGTGAGATCGAGCCCTGAGTCGTGGAGCCTGCTTAGGATTCTTTCCCTCTCCCCCTCCCCTACCTCCTCTCTAAGAAAAAGAAACACTTGAGGGCATGTGTATTTCCATGGGTTAGGAAACACAAGAGGGAGGCATGGGCCTGGTTGCATGGGAAGGGAGGTGTGGGATCAGGGAAGACCACAGCATCTCCCCCGTGCAGAAGAAGCAGTAGGAAAGGGAAGGATGGACATTCCAGGTGAGAGAAGCACACTGAGGTGTTCAGGGGAACTGTGGGTCGGTCTGAAGTGAAGCCGGGAAGGTGTGGGTCCTTGTGAGCCAAATTGAGTTGGAACTGAGTCCTCAACACAACCTGGGTGATCACCTAGTCTAAGGGAGGACTGTGGCAGTAATAAGGATGGGGGGGGGGCCTTGAGTAGGGGGACCGGTTGGCAAGAAATAAGGGGGCCCTGCAGAGCCAGCAGAGGTCGGGCCAAGATGTGAGAGAATTCAGAGAGAGACCAGTAGGATTTAAGGACCCGTCGGCCCTCACAGGTGAGGCACCTTGCCGCCTTGCTCGGTTTCCGACAGGCCAGGGGTGGAGGGTGGAGGGGGCGGAGCGGCAGGCTTGGGGAGAAGACAGTAACATTTTTGGACATGTGGAGATGGAGGAGCTCATGAAATATGTAAGAAGTGTCTAGAAGGACATGAGTCACGTGGCTCTGGAGCTCAGGAGAGAGAGACCACATTCACATAACTATTATAGTATATTGGTATAATTGTTGTCTTTTATTGTTAATTTCTTACTGTGCCTAATTTCTAAATCAAACTTGATCACAGGTATGTGTGTATAGGAGAAAAAATAATGTACCCAAGGTTCAGTGCTATCCACAGTTTCGTGGGGCTCTGGGAGGGGATCCCCCATGGATCAGGGGGGACTACTATATTTCTTGCTTCCTCCTTCACGATGCCTGTTTGTCTATTTTATCACGTGACATGTACATGTACGGAACTTCTAAAAAATAAATATGCATACACTGGAGGTTTGTGTTCAAAACTTTGTTACTGATGGAATAGTGCTATGGGAAAGGTTTGGAGACCACTGGGGGCCAAGCTGGCCACAAAGAGAAGCAAAGATGAAGAAGAAAGGACACTTTGGGAGAATTAGAAGGTTGGAGGTTCTTTGGATGCTAACCAAGGTCAGTCAAGGTGAGGGCAGTTAGCAAGTGAGAGAGATGGAGGTGAGGAGGACTGTGGACCCTGTTTGCTCTCAAAGTTGCGTGCACAGTGCTGAGTACGGGCTGGCAGGGGGGCAGGGGGCATTCAGCGGGGGCTCACTGAGTGTTTTCCGAGTGGCCGAGTCTTGCTGGGAGGAATTCAAGTGGTGAAGGCAGAGCAGAGCAAGGCTGAGCTGACTCGGGAAAGAGCATACCTGAGGAGAGGTCACCAACCCCAAGGTGACGAACGCCATCATGGTGGCAGGTGGCAGGTGGCTTTCACCAGCAGGTTCCACGCTTCTGGATTTCACAGATGAAAATTTAGCAGACTAGGGGTGCCTGGCCAGCTCAGTCAGAGCATGTGAATCTTGACCTCGGGGTCGTGAGTTCGAGTCCCAGGTTGGGTGTAGAGATTACTTAAAAATAAAATCTTTAGGGGCACCTGGATGGCTCAGTCAGTTAAGCGTCTGCCTTCGGCTCAGGTCATGATCCCAGGGTTCTGGGATCGAGCCCCACATAGGGCTCTTTGCTCAGTGGTGAGTCTGCTTCTCCCTCTCCCTCTGCCTGCTGCTCCCCCTGCTTGTGCTTGCTCTCTCTCTCTCTGTTGAATAAATAAAGTCTTAAAAAAAAAAACACTTCTGAAAAAATAAAATAAAATCTTTAAAAACAAAATTCAGTGGACTACATTGGGCTGCTACTCTCCCCGCTTTTTCTGCAAGCAAAAAACATGAAGAAGGAGAAGGAGGAGGAGAAGGAGAAGAAGAAGAAGAAACAACCCTGGAAGAAGACAAAGAAGAAGAAGAAGAAAGAGGAAGAAGAAGAAAAGAGGAAGAAGAAGAAGAAGAAAAAGGAAGAAAAAGAAGAAAAGAGGAAGAAGAGGAAGAAGAAGAACAAAGAGGAAGAAGAAGAAGAAAAGAGGAAGAAGAGGAAGAAGAAGAGGAGGAGGAGGAAGAAGAAGAAGAGGAAGAAGAAGAAAAGAGGAAGAAGAGGAAGAAGAAGAACAAAGAGGAAGAAGAAGAAAGAGGAAGAAGAGGAAGAAGAGGAGGAGGAGGAGGAAGAAAGAAGAAGAAGAAGGAGAAAGAGGAAGAAGAAGAAAAGAGGAAGAAGAGGAAGAAGAAGAAGAAGAAGAAGAAGAAGAAGAAGAAGAAGAAGAAGAAGAAAAGAAGAAGAAGAAGAAGAAGAAGAAAGAAGAGGAAGAGGAAGAGGAGGAGGAGGAGGAGGAGGAGGAAGAGGAAGAGGAAGAGGAAGAGGAAGAGGAAGAGGAAGAAGAAGAAGAAGAAGAAGAAGAAGAAGAAGAAGAAGAAGAAGAAGAAGAAGAAGAAGAAGAAGAAGAAGAAGAAGAAGAAGAAAGAGGAGGAGTACGAGAGGAGGAGGAACAACTCCGGACAACTATCATAATGAGAAAGAGACCATTTGAAAGAAGGGGCATTATTTTACTATATAGGAAAGATGTGACCACAGAATAAACTTCAGTCCTTTCAACCCAGTGGGGGTTTCTTTGTGGAAGGCTCACTACACTGCCTTCTCCCCACTGGAAGACAGGCTTCAGGACCGGGAGGGCGGCAACATTGGCTGTTTTTGTTACCCAAGGGCTTGTGGAGAGAGTCTGAAGTCCCGCTCTGGAAGGGGAGTGGAACAGGGTCTTGCCATCCGAAATGTGCCCCCTCCAGGGCTGGTTCCCCAGTCCCTGAAGGAAGAATAAGGAGACAGGTAGCTGCCGTCCTGAGGCCCTCACCTGCCCGGTCTGCATCGTGAGCACCCGTGAGATTCGGCTCTCTCACCCAGGAACCTTTCCTCTTAGTGCCCCCTCCTGCCGTTCCTCAGCCCGCTGACAGCGCACACGCACACGGCCACTCCCGACACCCACATTCGGCTCAGCGCCGCCACACGGCGGTGACACGTGGGTGGCAAATCCTGTGTGCAAGGAATTTACAGTCTAGCCAGGAAGATGAAAACCACGTTGCCCTGCAGTGGCAATAAGAGGACAGAATGGGAGACGACTTCATGATCTGAGCCACTCCAGTGCCTGGCAGGGAGCTTGGCCCTTGCTGGCGCTTTGCAAATGTTGAATGAATGAATGAGAACTGGAACGGTCTTTGAGGAAAAGATAAACGGTGGGCCGAGCCTTGAAGAATGGGTGAGATCTGTCCAGGAGTGGAGGATGAGGTGTTTGGAAGGGTGGTGAAGGAGGGAGCGGCGTGAACATTGTCAATCAAGGACATCCATTCAACAAATATTTGTTGAGCACTTACTATGTATTGGGCATCGGATATAACGGATCTAATGGTCAAAAATACAAGTAAACAAACACTTAAGGTTATTGCAGATAGTACTCAAGGTAAAGTGTTGAGAGAGTGCCAGGTGAGGGGTGGGGGTTACTTTAGAAAGGGTGGTCCCAGAGCAAACGTCCCCAGGAGGTGATGTTTGTCCCACGATCCGGAGGAGGAATGTTTCAAGCAGAAGGAGCAGCAGGAAGGAGCTCGGTTTTGCCATCAGCTTGATGTTGTTGTGGTGGTCGACTCAGAGAAAGTCAGGGAAGGCTCACGGAGATGAACCAGTGCGATTAGACACGGGCATTGTGACTAGCCGGACAGAAGCATGCCAGGAGAATTCAGCTGATAAAGCTGCAAGACCTGGAAGACTCCAGGTACTTGTGGTCAGCAGAATAATGCCCCCGCAACTGTGCCCCGTCCGAATCCCCAGAAACTGTGACTATGGTATTTTACATGGAAAAAGGGGATTAAAACAGCAGATGGAATTAAGGCTGCTAACCAGCCGACCCTGAGATGGGAGATCTTCTCCGCCCTCCCAGCAGGCCCAGTGTGATCGCTGGGAAGAGGCAGAACCAGAGACGGCAGCCTGAGACTCAGTCCGATCTCGTTGGTTTTAAAGATGGTGAAGGGGGCCATGAGCGGGGAATGCGGGTGGCTTCTAGAAGCTGGAAAGGCAAGGAAATGGATTTCCCCCTGAAAAGGAGGGGAAAGGAATGCAGCCCTGTTGACACCTTGATGTAAGCCCCACGGAGACCCAGCTCGGACTTCTGACCCCCTACAAGGGTAAGGTAAGGTGATACATCGTCTTATTTAAGCCACGATGTTTGTGATGATTTGTTCGAGTAACCACAGGAAGCTGACACGGAATATAGAAATGGGAAGAGGCTGGGAGACTTCCAAGAAGCATGACGGAAACAGCCCAGACTGCCTTGTTCAGACTGTTAGCAGAAGCACGACTGTGAATATTTCATTGTTCCCTGGGGGGGCCAGGCGGTGCAGCCAACGGGAAAAGGCAGGTAAGTGCCACCCAAGGGAGAGACCAGCATGATGCAAGGTCATGACAACAGAGCCCAGCACAGCAGCTCCCTTCAGCAAGGGAGGAGGTGGAGAGTGCCCGAGCCCTTCCCCTCCGTGGCCAGCGGATCCCCTCTGCAGCCGTGGAGGACAGTGTGGCTGCCACGGAAGGACCCCCGCCTCCTCCCCCATGCTCGGAAATACAGAAAGCTGGGGCATGCCTCAGGGCCTTGGCCGCGGCGGCTGGAGGCAGAACACAGGACCACACGCGGAGCCTGAAACATGGAAAGCTGTTCCCCCACAGGGTGATAAGCCAGCACAGGCTATTAGGGCTCTGGAGGTCGTGGGAAGGAGGTGTCCGGGGCTCACGGCCCGTCCTTAGGCAGCCGAGCTAGCAGGGGCCCCAGATTGTGCCTTTCCTTAACCAACTGAGCCACCCAGGCGCCCTAGATTGTGCCTTTCCTAACAGGTAATGACTCCAAGCCTCAGAAGCAATGAGGGGTGCAGCAGAGAACACACAGCCCTTTAGAGAATACCTAAACTATCGTGAGCAGACCATAAGGGCACGTAAGGACTCAGGCCCCCTCTTCCCTGGGGTGCGTCCTCAGCGCACCATGACCTGCGCGCACCGCTGGGCTCTGCGTGGGTCACTTCATATAACGTTCACAACGTGTTCATAATTCTCCCTGGAAATGGCAACCTGGCCTTCCAGTCAGGTGTTTTGTCATAATTTATTCAATCACACTTCCTCTTTTCTTTTTTTTAAAGACTTTATTTTTAAGTCATCTCTATACCCAATGTGGGGCTCAAACTCACGATCCGAAGATGAAGAGTTGCACGCTCTACCAACTGAGCCAGCCAGGCGCCCCACTGAACCAACCAGGCAACCCTCTCTTTTTTTTTAGCTAATAGAGTAATTCTGAAATGAACCTTTGTTCACTATTTTGATGGCTTATTTAATATTACTAAGCTTAATTAGATATAAATAGGTTGTATTTTTTTTTTAAAGATTTATTTATTCATTTGAGAGAGCGAGAATGAGAGAGAGTACATGAGAGGGGGGAGGGTCAGAGGGAGAAGCAGACTCCCTGCCGAGCAGGGAGCCCGATGAGGGACTCGATCCCGGGACTCCAGGATCATGACCTGAGCCGAAGGCAGTCGCTCAACCAACTGAGCCACCCAGGCGCCCAAATAGGTTGTATTTTTAAAAAAATATTTACTTTTCTCTTTCCTCCAAATGGACAATTAGTCCAGATCCGAATGAGGAAGCACAGATGGGGAAATAACACAGGAGAAGCATAACACATCCAGGCAGTCAGGCCCAACTTGGTTTCTAGGACTCCTCATTTCCAGGGACAACGGTGCAGAGTGTTTTTTCCCCTCCTTGGTGCACCTGGGGAGCGTCTGGTTTGGGGCTTGGCAGAGACAAAGACAAAACTCATGCTGTGTGTGACTCTTATCAGCCAACATGTCCAAGGAAAATGTGCTCCCTTAGCAGCGTCCAGAGACCGGAAGGGTAATAAAGCCACGCAGGCCCCCAGGGGAGAAACGGCTGGTCC